AAAATTTTCCTATTTTATCCGATTTGATCATCCTATTGGTTACATAATTTCATCGTGCTTATAAAAGGACGTTAGCAAATGGCGTTTTCTCAAAAAAAATTAATTTTATTGTCTGTTGCAACGTGCAACGAAATCAAAATTTACCATTTAGGACATGGCAAAAAGTATCCGCAGTAAGATCAAGCGTCACTTCCGTGCGATTAAGCGACAGAGCGTTTTTGCACCCGTTGAGGATGCTCGTACAATGCGACTCGCGGCTAAGCAAGCTAAGACTGTGAACGCTTCGATACAACAAGATACCTATGCAACGGCTGAAAACGACTTTAATTTACAAAAAACGGGGCTTTTGGGAATCACATCAGAAGTAGAAAAACTTTCAAATAATTCTGATGTCACACAAGAAATCCCAGGTTCGTTGCTTTATGAGATTTTGGGGTTTCTTAACCCGGACTCGATTGATATAATGAATCTCGTGGATATTTTCAGAAATTTTAGATCTATTAATTCTATTTCATCATGATTGGGATTAAATTGTACATATAATTTCAGAGATGGACATCGATATTCCAAAGATCTCTACTAGCGGTCCGAGGAACAGTAGGCACTATTTAAAAAATCTTAAGCGAAAGGGGATAATTATTAAAGGGAAAAAATGCATTCGAAAAAAGAACGGTGATTCATTGGTTCATTTTAGACGATAATTAATACTAAAATTCTATTGTTCTTTGCTTGAAAAAAAAATGAACACCTGATCAACAAATCATGCGAAACTCGTACTGTAAATTTTCACATTGTTATTTTATTTATGTCTTGAGATTGTGCACATTTATAACTTTAAATATATTCTTGATTTAATTTCAATATAAAAAAAAAAAAAGGGTTAACCTGTCGCCTTCCGAGTGAAGTTTGTTTTGCGTTACGCTTTTTCCTAGAGTTAAAATGTTAACAAGAAATGTTAAGAGAGTGCTAAAACTTTGATGATAATAAAATATTCGAAAGCAAGTATCAGAAAAGAAGACGTATGGTAGCTGTCACATTATCATCATTTCACAAAACGTGAAAGGGCAGATAAATGCCTTAATCATCATAATATTTGATTAAAGAGAAGCGCCAAGCAAAAAAAAAAGATATTACCTTAGAGAGCCAAACAAGATCTATTTGCGTAACACATTGCATTTTATATCTGAATAATGTAGGACAAATTGTCACGTGAATGTAACGTAATTAAACGAATGACCATTACCTATTTAATATTTAAAAACTTTAAAATTAAAAATCGATATTTTAAATCTATTATAATGTAAGATTTAAAATATAAACTTTATTTAATGCCATCTAGAAACAGGAGAATCCTGGAGAAACTAACTATCTGCCATCAGCCTTTCTTCGCGAGATACCTTTTAATTTTACGATCTTTCTTTTTGCGCCATAGTTCGGTATTCCGCACCGAGTGATTAACGATGCCCTAATTTTAAATCAAAAAAGTCACGTAATTAAATTATAAAATTATCAAGGGTAAATAAAGACTACAAAAATATACAGTATTTATACCTTACTATCCAAGAAACATTGTAGTTGTCGTTCGGTGCATTGAATACCCGCCTCCGTAACTCTTTTTAGTAATTCTTCAAGTACTACGAACTAGTAGAGCATGATTCGTGTCAATGATATAAATAAAAGAAACGAACGTTCGCTCCGAATCTTACTTCGTAGCAGAGGATGTCACACCGTAATTCGTGGTTCCTTTTGATGTAATTATTTATTTGTTCAAATAAGGGAGAGTCCATTGCTGTTTCAATGTACTTCTCTTCTTCGTAATAAAATAGTGGAGCTGTGCGCATGTTGTCGGCATCATCCTCGCTCTCGTTGCTATCTTCAATTATTCCATTTTCGCTCTTGTTTACTACACCTTCGTCGACAGAACTATAGTTAAACTTGTCATCTTTGGAACTTGCGTCAATATCTTTGAGTTCTCCTTGATTCGTCTTGTTCCAAATATGAACCAATTGGCGAATCATTACGTCTTTTCCCGAAGGGCGGATGCCATATTTCGCAACCTCAACCTAGAAGATGAATAATAATTAAAAACTTACTATCTAACGAATAATAACTTAAAGACATGCCTTTAGTTCAGGCACAGTCATCCGTTGAAAATTCGGCATTTTTTTCATTCTAGATATTTGTTCATTTTCTTGGTCGGTTAATGTGACTATCCTTGTATAAGTTTCTTCGCCCTTCTCACGAGTGTTACAATTTGACTGAACGATGCAATCTTTCTGATTTCTTTCTGATTGAATGAAGGTGCCAAAGGTATTGACATTGCTTGCAGGTGACGTGTCCGTCGAATTAATCAAAATAACATCAGTTTCTTTAGACTTTAGAGTCGAAGGTGTTTTGCACGATGGAGAATATGCTAGAATTCCATCACCATTAAAATAATTATCTGGATCTTGGCTATTCGCAATACATGCCGGAGACATGGATTCTTCTGGCAATGGTTCTTTACTGATCTGTAGATCGCTAACATTTCTCTCCAGCATCGTAACAGATAGATGATTGCGATTTTCTGGAGTTCTAATATTATTTGATCCACTATTATCGAACGTGCAAAAGTCTTTATTCCGATAAAGGTCATGTGGAGATAGTAAAGATTCGTTATCATATAACCTTTCTTGTCGTTCAGACAACCAACAAAATTTAACGCTTTCAGCATCATTATTATTTTGATAATTCAATGGGCTATTCGGTGTTACAAGGAAAGAATAGAGTTCAGATGTCTCGACTTTTTCCACAATCGAAGAATTCGCGATTTCGTTCAAACACACTTTGTTGTTGTCTTTATGTTTTAATGAACTCTCGATTTTCTTGTTTCGTTCATGCAATAAATTTTGTACCTTGAAGCAATATGAGAGATTACATTCTGTAAGGAAAACATTTCGTGCCGTGCCACACCCAAAATGATAACTACTATACCTTGTCATTATGCCTTTTTACCATGATTAAAATATCTTTCCTAAGTTTCTTTTCTTCTTCTACTATTTTGAGGCGATAATCTCGCATGATTTCTTTTAATATTGCGGCTGATGGGCTTTTGTTTGATGGGTCAAACCAATTCATGCTTAAGCCATCATTATCGAAGGTTAGA